ATCTTGATCAATTCCAGTTCTGATACATGCTTACAATCATAGGTGATTTTAGTCACTTTTTGTTTGAACAAATTGTAAAAAAGCTGCTGAGGTCGGTGCTTAATTGTAGAGCTCAAAACAAAAGTCCGTTTAGTCCTTCATCGTCTAGGTTCAATACTCATTGTGCAGATTTATAGAAATTCTCCTAATTCTTCTCCCAGCCACTTCATCTTGTCTCTATATACTATGTTTGTCATAGAGAGAATTCTTATTATACCAAGGCAGAACAATGGGCTAGTGCAAGTGATTCTCTGTGTGGCTCTTGTCCAAGAGACGCGGCGTGGCAATTCATTACCCCTGCAGAACTCAGAGGAGCTCAAATGATTACCCCCATCCATTTCAGACAATAATGGCTGCTGATACGCCGCTTCTCCGACGTTCAATTCAACAGGACAAAGAAGCGTGTCTTGATATCTGTGCCAGGAGGTATTTTGTAATTACCAGGGAGAGCGTTTTGTGTGAGTCAGCTGCTTCTGTAGCATATAGCCGTGTGTGTGTGTGTTTGAGTGTGTTTGAGTGTCTGTGTATAGGGCTGGTAGGTCATTATTGCAAAGCATTTTCACGTTTCCATCACTTTTGTGTTAATACATTAAATAAAAAGGGATGTCTGCAAAATTGTTGTAAGAAGTTTATATATGTTGAATTTAAACAAACAAATTAAATTTAGTACTTTTCAACTTAATTTGAAAAGAAAGTTTTAACAGTATGTCTGATAATATTTTTTCTTCTGGAGAAAGTCTTATTTGTTTTATTTTGTCTATAATAAAAGCAGTTTTTTATAATAACAAAATGAAAGTCAAAATTATTAACCCTTGTATTTTTTCGATAGTCTACAGAACAAACCATTGTTATACTAGTTAACCTAATTAACCTAGTTAAGCCTTTAAATGTCACTTTAAGCTGTATAGAAGTGTCTTGAAAAATATCTAGTCAAATATTATTTACTGTCATCATGGCAAAGATAAAACAAATCAGTTATTAGACATGAGTTATTAAAACTATTATGTTTAGAAATGTGTAGAAAAAATCTTCTCTCCCTTAACAGAAATTGGGGAAAACAATAAACAGGGGGGCTAATAATTCAGGAGGTTTAATAATTCTGACTTCATCTGTATAATCATATATTTAGTTTGGCTCTTGTGACTCCATACAAAAAAAAATAAATAAATAAATAAATAAACATTAAAATTAAAATAAAGACAGTAAACATTAACATGTTTATATAAAAATGAACTCTTTTTAATGGTGTATTTGACGATCCATTGTTGAAATGATGAGAAAAATACCCAGAGCAGATGAACTGGATGTAATGGATAAACGCACCGATTCAACAGTGCTGCTCACCAACAAACACACACATTCTTTCAGAAAGAGCTGAAGTCACTTTTTGAGTGCGGAAAAATACTCCACAGCAGCAGATCAAGGCAAATGGCCATAGTTATATTTTAGAGACCGTCGAGTCTTGAAAAGATACAATTCTTAACTCAATTGTGCTGCATTCTCAGCAATGCCACAAGGGACGCTATAGCAGGCTTTAGCATACACTACTGGTCATGTTTCTCTTTCAGGCTAACCACTGTCATGGTGAACTACAGTTTGTATAGAGTCTAATTGAGCAAGTAAGTATAAATTAAACCATTTACATATTTATAGCACATTACTTGAATTAATAACACTTAATTAAAAGACATTTTGAAGAAGTAGGTTTGTCAGTGCCACTGTAGAGTATGTTTCCCACATAACAATTGACAGTTGGATGCAGTGACCATTTTGAAAATCACACCAATCCTCTACTCTGATTGGCTGGACACCATTGTTGCATTAAGACTGAGAAACACTTGGTCACTGAACTATTTTGCAATGAGACCAACATTACTACAACCCACACAGGGTTTTCCATTAAGAGCAAATCAGCTGAAGTAAATGACAGCATCACATTGAGATATTAATAAAGGACTGTCTTTTTTTATAGGTCATTCATGATAAGACATTTGCTCCCGTATAACGTAACAACACTCTAGGTTTGGTTAAATATGCAGTAAGTGAAGAGTAGTCTGTCTTTTACGGTTACTGAGAAAACAAATTCCTATTGCAAAAGCGGCAATTAAAGTAAAAAAAAAAAAAAACGTCCCTCATAATACCTTACGAGTCAGTTAAACAGGAAGGACACATTTCCAGTGGGGTAAAACATCCTGATACCTTATTCACATACTGTTTTGAAGAATAGTTCACTCAAAAATGACAATTCTGTCATTATTTACTTACTATAATGTCAATCCACATGACTTCCTGCAAAGTAAATAGATCAGGGGTGTTCAAACTGGAGGACCGGTGTCCTGCTGAGTTTAGCTCTAACTTGATTCAACACACCTGCCAGGAAGTTTCTAGTATGTCTAGTAAGAGCTTGACTAGCTGGTTCAAGTGTGTTTGATTAGGGTTGGAGCTAAATTCTGCAGGACATTGGCCCTCCAGGGCCGAGTTTGGACACCCCTGTATTAGATTCTGTTATGCAGAATATTTATGCTGCTCTTTTGTTTAAATTGCCGAAGATGACAGCCCAGCTAACTTAGTTTTACTTAATTTTAGATATACTCCTTGTTCTAAAGCCATAATAAATTAATTTATCATAAAGATACGAAGAGTTTAGATGCAAAAACCTGCCAAAAAGGGCCATCTAAAACTTTGAGACTCTTTTATTTATTTTCACTTATTTCACATTAAAGACAATGAAAATAATGTATTAATTGACATAAAAAGGGGAATTACTCAACTTGTGCACAGGAGCTTGAGAAAATGCTAATTTTAGGAGAATAATTCAGTTGGTACTTGGAGGTTTTTGCATCTGAACTCTTCATACTTTTCATGAAATCAAATATTTCTGTCCCTCCAGTAAAAAACTATATACCCAAAACATCAAAACATTAATATTAAAAAATAAATCCATATCAAATATGTGGTGTAATCTAAGTCTTCTAAAGCTTAAGCAAGCTCACTTGATGTGTGAGAACCAATGAGATCTTGCGGTTCATCTTCGGCAAGAACCAATAAGGTTTGTCTTTGTACATCAAGTGGATATGGCTGGGTTTCTGTTTATGCTTGCTGATCAATGTTTAATTATAATTAAAAGCCAAAATTTCCATCTAACGAATTTGGTTACACTCAAGTTAATTTATATTTTGACCTCTATGAAGCACCATGGTTTTAGCTCTAGAGTAGGGTTGTCAGAAGTATCAAATTCGGTACTAATTGGTAATGAAATTTAAAAACAGTAATTTTTTTGCTGACATTTGAGTGCGTTCTTAAACAAGCCTGATTGGCCATTGTGCTCACAGTCGTTTATCAGCTAGTCATGTTGAGCAGCTGAACACAATGGCCAATCAGCTGCTTGTGCTCAACAGTGCTCAAATGTTAGCAAATGGATGTTTTTAAAATTTCAGTACCGATTGGTACCGAATTCTTGACTTTTGACAAACCTATCATACAGACTTCTTCAGAAGGTAAAGAAATCTCTTAGATTTCATGAACTTGTCTTCCTTTGTGTACTGAAGATAAAGGAATGTCTTTGGAATGACATGAGGGTGAGTAAATAATGACAATTTTTAATTTAGTGTTTAACCAACCCTTTACATTGGAATACACAGCATACTATTATGATAATCCATTTTACTAACACAATACTTTTATGGTGTTTTCCCTTTTAACTTCATTAAATGGAAAGCATTCTACAATATATTTCGTTTTTTTTTTTTCAACCAAACAGGTTGAGTAAATAATTTCATAACTTGCATTTCTCAATGTGAACTATTCCTTTAACAAACGACCCAGAGTTAACAGAGGTTTGCATAAGGGAGACATTTGACATAATTCTTGTCCCCTTACCGACAATAGCTTCAGTCCCTGAGGACCATGGCAAGAGATTGGTCATGAAACCCACACTCATGCACATCCGTAAAGAAAAAAGCAACAACATTGAAATATGCTTGCATACCTAAAACAGTCATCCTTAATAGAATGCTTAAAATCTCAAACACACAGTCATCTCCCATGCACCCGCATACTGAATAATGAGTAGTCTCTGGGAATTGGGAATGGTGGTGACATTTATAAAGGCTGCGTTTGCTTCTTTCTCCTACTCTTGCGCTTCTTGAGCCCCCCCACCACACACACACACATACAGACACACAAACACACACAGACAGACTCTAGGATGCTCCTGTTATTGACTGACACACAGGCATCATTATCGAGTCAATCGCATTTAGAGAGCACAACTTCACTCAGAAACGCAGAGCCCATCCTTATTAAGTGTAAAATAAGACACAGTTTCCTCTTTGGATCTCCACCAGCTTCCCTTTAGATGTGAGACAAGAGCCATGACTTGGCTACCAAGAAATGGCCAGGATTGTGTGCTTACAACAACCCAAAATTTGTCTCGGCCATCAATATAACATAAGACATCTGTCAGATTAGACGAACAAACCACCTCTCACATTCGGTAAGGTTATATTAGTACACTTAGCTCACGGGATTTTCTCGTACAGTATGCTGAAAGCTTAAATAATGGCTATGGTCCACGCGTTGTCTGTCCGTCCGTCGAAATTTGCAACCAACGTGCAAATGCACACACACACACACACACACACACAAAAATAGGACAATAGAACAGACCTCTTCAAGTCATCACTGATTATGAATAAAAGCTAATAAATTGCATCCAATAAGTGTTAGGCAGCTCTGTTGGTCTCAGTGCTGTGAGTTTACCTCTTTGCGGGACGACAAAAATCCCTTTTAAAAATAATAAGACCATAACAAACCAAAAAATAAAGAGACAGACCGTTATCGTCACAAAGTCATGGCTGAAATGGCAGCAGACGTTGAAGCAAATACCGCTGTACAATTTCATTCGGTCATTCTTTTTTAAAATCTGCAGTGAATATAATTCCGATAATTTTTTATGTAGGTTTTTTTTTTTTGTATCTTTCTCTTACTTCCGTAAAAGTCTTCACCTAGTTTTAAGTTCAGTGCTTTAAGTTAGTTACATTTCTGACCTGGCGTGCAAAGTCTTCAGGCTACCAACCAAGAGTGCGCCAATTGTCCTGCATATGGAGTTCGACTTGGACTATCGATCCCACAGAGCAAAGAAGGGGGGGAGGGCCGTATTTTAATGGTGGCGCTTTAAAGTTTCATCTCCTTCTCGTTCGCCTATTTAATTTGACTAGGAGATCACAGCCTTATCCTCCTCGTCAACCTTTAATTTTCCGTCTCCCTCCCCCCAGCACTGCTACCAGCGGTTGATAATGTGATTCATATAGTCCTCCGTGGGCAATCGAGATCCTTCGGACTCTGGCGCGTCATCCCTGAAAGTAGAGTCGGAACTGGACGTCCGCCGAAAGGGAAAAAGAGGCTGGTTCTTTAGGCGCTGCTCTCTTCGCTCCAGTTGCCGCTTGTACATGTAGCGCTGCTGGAAAAGATCCCTGGCGTAGTCGTATAACTGCATGTCCAGGTCGTTGAGCTCCTCGATACGCTGTATCGTGTCATTATCGAGGTCAACACCGGCAGCCCGCGTGCTGTTATACTGCATGAAGGGCCGGATGAACTTGAGACGGAAGGTCCGTTCGAACAAATACTGCGTTTTCCGCTGGAACTCCGTCAAGCCAAAGAAGGCCATGTCTCGTAGGTTCTTCTTGGCTGACTCAAGTAGCACCTGCGCCCGCTTCTTTTCCGGGATAAAGGACATGTTGTAGCAGCCCACCAGGCTGAGGTCGGCCAGCATGCGCACCTGTCGGTTATTCGCCAGGTTGTATGGACAGTCCATGAACTGCTGTAACGTGCACCCTGACCAGTCGGTGCCCTCGTAGCAGGGGGGTAACTCCTCCGGCGTAGGTGTTCGTCCATCGCACATGTGCAGGGAGGTTTTCCATGTGGCCCCTCGCTGTACGTGTCTCCACTCGCTCAGGTAGCGGGACACAGGGTCCCGTAAGAGTGTGATGTAGTAGAACTTCCTGCAAATTGACAAAAAAAAAAAAAAGAGAAATGGTTAGGACACAAATTTGAATATATGATTTAAAGAAATCTGCAATTTCATGTCTGTCCACTTTTCAAATGACTATTTGGTATTTACTGTCTTCCCAGCATGCACACAACATCATAAGACATTAATATTAGATTAATAATTAGGTTAATATTAGGATTTAGGTTGTTGTTGTTGTGTGACTTAAATTTAATGTCTGGCCAGGGTCTAGGGATAACGTTATTTTGACGACAAATAACATCAAATGACATTGACATTTGGTTGATTTTAGGAAAAGTGACCAATAGTGTGTTGAAAGTGACCAAAAACCAACGTCGAGCCAATATCTTAAACCACCATCATATTGACGACACATACTGACATTTATTCGTATGGCAAACAAAATCCAATGTCATACAATGTCAGTCTGTTATCATGTTGATGTCCTGTTCCTGCTGGATTGAGACACTTATGACAAAAAGTCATCATACATTTTTTGTTTACAAAAATATTTGTAAAAACATGTATATTTAGATGTACACACACACACACACACACACACACACACACACACACACACACACACACACACACACACACACACACACACACACACACACACACACACAAAATTGCACCATTAATAGTAAAAGTTATCATTTGAACTACATTTACTCTGGATTAAATGCAGTGATTGTTGTGATTGTTATTAATTATTTATCAATGTGTGCTATTTATAGATTTTATTTTTAATTAATGTTTCTTTGTTATCATTAATCAAAATTATTAACTTCGCATTCCTTGCTTTACTTCCAGTTCCAATTCATTTGGATGTTACAGAAAAAACAATTTCTGAAGCATTGGCCACAAGGTGGCACTGTATTAAATACATTTGTGCTTCTGCTTTGACATTTCTGTCTAAGTAAATATACAAACAAACAAATAAACTCAATTTCATCATTAAAGCAAATAATAAAAAAAAAACAAAAAAACAAATTTACATTTATCAACAAACTCCACTGCCACAACTTGCTGTAATTTTCCTGATGTTTCCCCTTATTTCCTTGATTTCCCCCAGTGCTTATAACAACTAGTTGAGTAATCATTCAACCAGCCCACTGACTAGTCAATTATTTTGATTTTTTTTAAACAGCGGGGACAAAAAAATGCTGACAAGACTGTGACTTTAACATTTTCTGCACATGTATTTTTTATTGGTTTTATTGACTCATTAAAACGCAAGCAGTGTATAAATTTCTCCCCATAAACTTGAACTCCAGCTACATTTTTCACATCATAAATGTCTGTACTGCAGTAAAAGACCAACCACAGCAACACGGTAGTCTTTTACTGGTAGGTAAGTATCATAATTCCTCTCGCCTCAAGCATAAAAATTATTTCGGCGCACATGAACACAAGCGGTCATAAAGGAGAACTGAACTGTAGAGCTCTTGATTCTGATATGCTTCAGTGAGACTTCATAATGCAGATGAAAAGAGCATAACCCGTCCCACATCACCTCTCTTCCATTCTGAACCTGCACTTCAACACCAAATTAGCAAATTTCTTGGATGTGTCCCTCTTGTGCACTTGAGCGTACATGGTGCAGAATGAATCAGACATTAGTTTAGAGAACGGCACAGACTTATTTATTTTAACAGCTCTCTGAGATGCATGAACCTACTCATCTGTGAAACACAAGTCAACCACAAGCTCGCACATTATGTACAGCATTGACCCTGAGGGGAAATGAATAGAAAATTCTACAAATATTCTCTCTTAATCAGCATATTTGGTTTGTTTACTTGTAAGAAACCATGTAAACATCCTAAAAAATAACATTTTACTTCTCTCATCTGCAAATCCATATTTCTAATCAGTATCACAAACACTGAAACATCGTTGAGTTTGAAGAGAGATTTTTTTTTTCTCATCTAAACATCCTTAAAAAAAAAAGATTTGTTTATCTGAAAAGCAAGACTGCCTTAAGTGCACACAAATTAATAATGGTTTTGCTAACCATGGCTTACCCATGACATTTGCATTAAACCAATACCTGTCAACATTGGGATGTAAAAATATGGGATAGCCAGAACCCCCACCCCCCACCAAAACAACAACAACAAAAACCTCAAACTCACCCAGAAGAACTCCCAAAGTGAACCCAAACTCCTTAATCTGTTCGTTCAGAGGAGCTCAATTCTACATAAGCATAGTTAAAACCAAAATGTTGGTAGGAAATTAGCTTCAAATAATAGAATACATCACAAACATTAGAAATTTGAAAATAAAATAAAAGGTTTAGCCTATTAAAAACAATAGCCTACTCAGAAATTACATCAAGTCATAACATTTCGCTTACTTTTTATTCACTGTATTTAAACACTGATTAAAGTTACTTTAGTTATTTAGTGAAGAGCAGCAAATCTCTCATATTGATCCAATGTTTTGTTTGATAACAGAGCTGTCACTTAAGGAATCCACAGATCTATATTGATAGCATTCGATTGCTTTTGCAATTGTTTATGCTCAATTTAGACAAAATACTTGTGTTTAAAATAAAGCATGCCAGGATGGACATGTTTACATATTATTAAGTGTATTTGTCTGTTGAAAAACACACCCAAATCCAAAATTGTTAACTTTTTCTCCTCTTCAAATCGTGTGTACCAAAGCTGATCTGGGAACAGCGACGGTCGACGCATAGCTTTAAATAGAGATGAAGTTAAATTTTAATATTCATTTTAACATGCTTTCAAGCCAAAATAAAGCGAAAGCATAATTATCTTGAACAGCTCTTGTAATTATATCACATTTGAGATTGGCTCTTTGATGCTACTTTAACTTTCCATACAAAGATTAAAAAATCAGGAGAAATGCGGGAAAATACTTAAATGGGATGATAGCAGGATAGAATAGAAAAATACGGGAGAATCCTGGCAAAAACGGGCGAGTTGACAGGTATGAGTAAACCTACACTGTTTAAAAAATCCGTTATTTTACTTTTTTTTGTTTTTGGAAGCTGGGGTATGGAAATAAACGTAAAACAACGACCGTTAAATAACAGAAATTTACTGTAATTTAATTCGACATTATTGATTATTAATTTTAACGTGTTTAATTTTAACGATTAATTTTACGGCACCCCAGCTGCTGTGGATGATTATACAAGTGGTAATGTACTAAAAAAAACATGGAAACTGCTATTTTACTAAAAAAATCATGAATAATCTTTATAATGTTAGTAACACTGTATACTGTCAGTCAGCATTACCAATAAACACAGGAGTCCAGCTGCATCATTACATAAACTAGCAAAACTTTATATAACAAAACATTTATAGTGTATAAACATTTTGTTTCAGAATTTACTTAGAATGGAGAAAGATCATTTTTTTCCTTAAATTAAGTCTAATATTCTATTGCAACAAGCTACATGCTAACTCTGAAATTGTAAACAAATGCCTTTGTAATTTATTTTATTTCCTGTTTTTACCAGCATTATTTTGCAGAGTAAATGCTTGGTCACACTTTATTTTGATTTTTCGTTTGTTGAATATAATGCATCTACATGTCAACTAATTCTCATTAGAGTATAAGTAGACTGTTGGGTTGGGTTTAGTTGACATGTACTTGCAAAGTTTCTAATAGTTATGCCGTTGAAGGAGCAGTATCAACAGATATTAAGCAGACAGCCTACTAATATTCAAATGCGCCATCCAAATTAAGTAATAAAGTGTTACCAAATACTTTTACAAAATCTCAAAATGAAGGGTAGCTCAATATGCTATGGTAACAAGCTACATGCTAAATCTGAATTTGTAAACAAAATAATATTATTTCCTATTTTCATCAGCATTATTCTGCAGAGTAAATGCTTTTATAAACACTCTTGTCTCAGAATGAAGGCTAATATGCTATCCTTACAAGCTACATGCAAACTCCAAAGTTGTAAACAAAGGCCTCTGTAAATCATTTAATATCCTATTGTTATCAGCATTATTTTCAAGAGTAAATGGTTTTATACACACTCTGTCTCAGAATGAAGGCTAATATGCTATCCTTACAAGCTACATGCTAACTCCAAAGTTGTAAAGGAAAGCCTGTGTAAATCATTTTATTTCCTCTTGGTATCAGCATTATTTAGCAAACCAAATGCTTTTATAAACACTCCGTCTCACTACTCTCTGACACATATGGTTATTTCTCACACACACACAGAGTCCAAAATCTGCCAAAAGATTCAGTGTTTATTCTCTGTCACACACGGTTCAATATCCTAGTGTGTCAGAGCGGCTTCTGTGAAGAAGCCAGCGTTAAACACTTTCATCACACTCTATCTCACTATTTCTTTGGGAACATCACTCTTTTCTTGTTCTGTTATCTATCAGCTTCATGCTCAGATCTATCTCAGGCAGATGATAGCTTTGGAAATACAAAACAAAGAGAAAAAACAAGACATGAAGAATATGGGGATGTTTTTGTTAAGGATGCAGGACATATTGGTGATCTTATCTGTTTTGGACAACAATAATGCTTTTTCAATCTCCTATTGATCTCCTTTTTGATATTAATACATTGTATAATATAATATAATATAATATAATATAATATAATACAATATAATATAATATAATATAATAAGTAATATAATATAATATAATACAATATAATATAATATAATTAATATTATATAAATAATATTATATAATTAATATTATATATATATATATATATATATATATATATATATATATATATATATATATATATATATATATATATATATATATATATAACTCTTCTGAAGTTCAATATCTGGATGCAGCATTTATGATGCAAGCTGAGATTGCATCACTCAACGATGCAATGCCCGACACAATGCACTCAACTGGAGCGAGTGACGTCACTGTGAGGGGTAGGGTTAGGTGACCCCATTAAAAGCACTGGATGCAGCCCAGATTGCACTGCACCACGTCTGCATCCAGACCC